GATAATCGATGCACATGCGAAGCCCACCGTCCTTCTTCGGAGTGAACAGGATCGGTGCTGCGAACGGGGAGGTGCTCGCCCGAATGAGCCCTTTCTCCAACAGTGCGTCAATTTGTCGGCGCAGCTCCTCGAGTTCCGGCTGGGTCAACCGCCACTGTGTTCGAACCGTCGGTTGCGCGCCAGGCTCCAGCTGGATTTTATGGTCTTCTGGTCTCTCGGGTGGCAGCCCAGGTGGCAGGTCGTCCGGGAAAATGTCGGGGTACTGTCGAATCAGCTCCGCTAAATCCGGAGGTACAGCTGCACACAGCTTCTCACTGTCCTTTCCGTCGGCGTCGACTGCCAACTCGCGTAAGCAGACAGCGAACAGCTGCGCGCCCTTGTTGAAGTGGCGAGCTATAGTGATGGCTTTGACGCACGGGGCTTGGATGTAGTCAGGTGTCCATGCAGGCAGCCGAATTAGCCCCTCGTGCTTGCTGATGCTGCACGATCCCGTTGTCCAGTCGATGACGGGGTTGTGTCGTCGCAGCCAATCGCGTCCCAGCAACACGTCGCAGCCGTCCAATGTTGTCGCGAGAAACTTCATGCTGAAGCTGAAATCGTCGCCGCATTCGATCCTGATCGTCCGTGTTTCTTCCGTTATCGCCAGAGGCGTCCCATCCACGAGGCGTGCGTCGATTTCGGGCAGACACCTGTCAAGTTGCAGCTTGCATCTTTTTGCGCTCGCCAAATTGAAGAGGCTATGGCTGGCCCCTCCATCGACGAACATTTTCAAATTATTTTTTAACACCTTGCCAGCGACCAGCACAGGGTGATCCACATGATTATCCCCGTTATTCGGCCGAGTGCGATCGATTGCATGAATCGGAACCACGACTCGGTGGGGATGATGGTGTTCGGGCGACGGAGCATAGTCAGTAAAGGGCCCGCTAATTACTGACTCTTCCCATTTCCCTGCTCCTTCCTGTCGTCCCCTGTCAGCGGCATTTTCTCCTGGTAGTCTTTCCTGTAGTGACCCACCTTCCCACACCGAAAACACTGACCCTTAGGAGGGTGGTCGGGTGTATGGACGGCGTTGATCGTGGCCCGATGGGTCTGGCCACGAAAGCTTCTCCCATCCCTGGAAGCTGCTCTCTTACTGCATCAGCGCATCAGTTGACTCCGCCACTCGTACTGCTTCGAGGAACGATGTCGGGCGGCTTCTGCGGACCTCAAACTGTATTTCATATTTAAGGCCGCTGACGTACTTATCCAACCGCTCTGCTTCCGACATGTCGTCAATTTGGTCGGCGAAGCCCATAAATGACGCTGTGTAGTCTTGGACAGAAGCCATCTGCGACCATGCACGCAGCTTCATGCGAGCTTGCTCCGAGGCGGATATGTGCTCGAAGCGATCTCGTAAGGCTGCGCCCCACTCCTTCCACGTGCGTATCTTGGTCACACCGAAGATTGGTTCTGCCACTTGATTAACCACTGTAGAGGTCCCGTCTGCCGCATGTGTCACACCTGTCGGCGTCCCTGTTTCCAAGGTCCGGCGCCACCATTCAAGCGCTGCCTCTCGAAGAAGCGAAACCGCGTAATTAATACGCGTGGCGTCGTCATTAACTCCGGCTGCAGTAAAAAAGACTTCGACCCCGAACAGCCACCCTTTTACCGTAACCGTCTTGTCCGTAGGATTAAACGGGGGCGGGTTGGCGGGCTTTATCTTGATCGTCGTCACTGCAACTGGCGCTGCTGCCGCTCGCTGCCTATCTTCTTCTTCGAAGTCACGTGTGAGCGCATCCAGCGGATTGCTCATCGCTTGACTGTTGCCCTCGCCTTCGTCCACAGGCGACTCCTGACGCGCTTCACCTCGTGTCTGGCGTAGCTCGGCGTTTTCCTCCCGTAACGTTGTCACTTCCGCCATTAATGATTCCATGCCCTGCTTCATTTCTGCCACTTGCTTTATCAGCCGGTTAACAGCCTTTTGATCCATGTGCCTAGCACTACGTCTGGTGGGCAGTCGGGTCTCGTGGCCTCCCGGCAAGTGAAAACACGAACTATCGGAGTCGGGCAGGATTGAATTAACAATCCCTGCAACCAACCGTCGTGTAGTCACTAAACCAACCACACCCGTGCCACCAAACTAATCTCGAAAAGCGGGGTGAACTAGGAAAGTAGCTCTGATACCAGGTGTTATGGGTTGTAAAAGAGAGTGCGCAGGTCAACGAATAACGAGGCTGTGATTGAATGAATTGCGAATACAATGAATGCACAGACTAATGTAGGGCTAGCCTAGCTAGGAGGAAACCTCGGACAAGCGAGGTTGGGTGCAGGTTGGGCGATGGAAATGCCGAAGGCGACGCGAGGAGCCTCGGCAGCGTTGAAATCGGCCGAACGTGCAACTCCGAAAATCGGGTTGTACGCGAAGCAGTCAACCCCGATAAGGAATTCGGGAAAATTCCTTACACACCGCGTTAACGTTTGCATGTTTCGCGTACAAATGTTAGCTCACATTTGGTACTCGTTCGACACTTAGTGCAATCCTCGTTACCTCGATTCATTGCACCCGTAACATTCCACCAATACTATCTTTCCCCTTATATTTACTCAATAATACCTTCAAATCCATGACTTATTAATGTAAACCGACTAATCCATAATAAAAAGGGAAAATATGTCAATGGTAATTTACATGGGGCACTATAACGCGTACGGTAAGGATTTCATCTCGTTTGGTAACTTGCTTAACGCGTCTGGTAACTCGCTTAACGCATATGGTAAGTGTACACTAGCAGCCCATCACGCGAATGGCATATTTTCCGTAATAAAAACACCTGAGACCATTTCCCTGACCAGACAGGTGGCACGTTTGGCACCAGTGAATTCTGATTCCCGATGACGCTGCTTTCGGAAAGCGCGACAGGTGGCACGTTTGCCACAGACCGCAGACTGTGGCGCCATGAGGTGCTTCTGTCATCGCGTCGCGTCGTCATATGATTTTTTGGGAGATCGACATTTCTTGGTGCAAATATCAAACTGGGGCCAAACGTTCGCAGGAAACTGACCGATTTGGGGCATTATGTCTCGCAAGCCGTCGAACCTGGCCCGCACCTACCCCTAACCAGTTTCGGGCCTCAACCAAAACCTCCGTGAGACATGACCAGTCAATGTGACGGTGACCTAGGGCAGAAGCGCCTCGCCAATCGTACTATTAGCCCTGAAATTAACTATAACAAACTCGTTCTTAAACGCTTGAAATTGCAAAAGAAAATGTTAAAAATATCCAATTTGCAAAACACTACAACCTCTTGGACGACATGCCTTTCCTTTGAGAGGCGTAAACCCTGAACTCCTTGTCGCGTGGTGTTTAGGGTTGATTCCTCAGCCACTACATGGTGTTTAATGCTTTCCATTGCGATGCTAATTCGATGCTATAACTATGTTTTATGGGCGATTACTCCAGAATAAATATGGCACCCTCCATGGTTCAATGAGTGTAAACGACATTCGTCAAGCCTGGAAATATAGGTGGTGGTGACGTGACACCTTGGCCTGGCTCGGGCTATCTGGTTAGTTGCATGGGCAGCTTCGGTAATGCGTACTAGGGGTACGACACATAAGGTCCAACTTCGGAAACGTTTCTACAGATTTTAAGCCCCAATCTGATTTTTACTTCAGTTTTACTGTGCAGTAGTCATACGCTTGACTTTCACCTCTTCTCTGGCGCGCGACGTGTCAGGCCAGTGGGGCATGTCTGGTCTGGAGCATTTCTACACCTGTTCTCCGATATTTCCACACCCTTTATCCTTACGAGCTGGGGTACCCACCCTCGAAAAAACCGATTTCGAAGGTAGTTAGCAACGCTCGAAGAATTTTCAGGGTTAATGTAACACAATCTCAATGCGAGCTTAACGCAGGAACAATCTGGCACTGGAATTTTCCCCGCTCACTCGAACTACAAAGTTCGAGTGTCCGTCTCATCAAACCTTCAACAATGTAGGGTGTCTGGGAAGAATCAAAGGTCAGGGTGTAAAAATATCGGAGAAAAGGTGTACACTTTTCTGTACAATCCACCTGTCGATTGGTCTGGGCCCAAACCGTACGATGCTGAGCTGCCTCGAAAACAGCCCTGAGCTATCCGGGAAGCGGACGTAAATTCAGGGCATTCATATTTCCCGCTCTGCGAATGCATGCATAACAAAGCAAAGTTATTCAAGCTAGACATACACTAGAGAGCAGAATACGCTAGGGGACGTTGGGGGCTGGCGTTGTTGGGGGAAGTGGGAGAGGGACAAGTTCGCGGTCTAAGGTCAGGAAGAAAGGGGGGGAGGGGAAGGGGGGTGGCTCTTACGGGAATCCGGGGAGCCCCAAAACCTGTCCGTTAGGAATCCCGGGGGAAAAACCAACCCTGAAAATCTCCGAGCTGAGCTGAAACTAACCCTGAATTCTCAGGGAAAACGGACAAATGTCCGTGAATCGACAGGCCTATCCACTCCTTCCGCTTTTGATCAATTTGCTGAGACAAGGCAAACTCAACGTTACGTTATTGGTTGATTGGTAACCTCTTCATCACTTGTGGGGTAGTGATAATGGGAAGCTTTTCATCTTCACTCCACTCCACTTGTAAAATGGGTCAAAGAGCTCACTCACGCTGGGGTTCCCCACTCATGTATCAAGGTCTCTATTCTTGGCCACTCGCTGTGCAAAAATCTGAATGGTCATTTTTCTTCCTAAGAACACACTCGATCCTGAGTGAAGAGCAACCCGTTTCTCCAAATGGGGGAGCAAGTCCCATGGGATGGTCGGCAGAACAAATCCGTTTATGGTTGTATTTCAAGTACTCAGATCCGTCCATAAAGACAACAAAACAAGGTCTGAAAAGATGCTTTTCACCATTGAACGCGTTGAACCACAAGTAACTCCACTCGTTTTGAGCGAAAAGCAAACCTCATCGTCTGAAATCCTGTCTCCGAAGTAATTGCCAAACGCGTTTATTGTACAGAAAGTTCTCCAGGTAATATTTACGCCAGTAGCACGCCGTTGGCCTCGTTGATGGGTGGTAGCGTGTGGCCGTCGAACGCCGTGTAGAGGCAGTCGGCGGACATGACGCTGGACGTGCGGTAGTCCTTCACCTCGCCGTCCAGGTACCCTCGGCCCTCCACGCCGTCTGCCGCGAACGACCGCCGCAGCAGCACTGACAGCGACGTGTACTCCAACGCGCGTTTCCGCCGGCCCTCGCGGTACGTCTGCCCCATGATGCCGTGCATGGCGGGGGTGCGCTCCACGCTCGCGAAGTGCAGGTTGATGTGCGTCTGCGCGTCCGCCTCCGTCTGCAGCAGCGGGTGCGCGGGCCGCAGCTTCACGTCCAGCTTGATCAGCCCGTCCACCTCCAGCGAGTACGCGTCCACGTCGAAGAACCCGCCGCCCTGCTTCTCGTACCCCGTGAACGCCAGCGTCAGCTCGCCGGGCAGCGCGTACTTGCTGCCCACGGAGAGCAGCGGCAGCGCCTTGCCGTCGAACTCCATCGCTCCCATGTACCCCGCGCCGCGCGCCATCTCCTTGCCGTCGCGCGCAGCCATGCGGAACGAGTGCTTCACGCCCGCCGCGTCGATCCACAGAATGCCCAGCTCCTTGATCCACGTGCGCACCGCCTTGCCGCCCTTCAGGATCGACGCGCCGACCGTGCGGTCGTCGTAGTACCCGCGCATGCGCATGTTCACGTGGATTCGCGCGTCCGTGACGAGGCAGAAGCTCTGGTCGGGCAGCCCGTTGAAGTCGAATTGCGTGCCCTCCGCGCCCGTGAAGTGCGGGTCGTTGAGCGATGACGGGCACGGCCGCGCCACGCGGGTCACGTTCCACAGGATGCCCTCTGGAATACACGTGGGAGGAGCCGCCAGCGGCGGGTAGATGTAGCACACGCCGCAATTGGCGCAATCCGCTCGTCTGTTCAGACAACAAGAGGGTTCATAGGGTCAGGGTTAATTGTCCCCGATACAAGGGATTCACTCATCCCATCAGAATTTGAGTTCTTAATTCACGATGACTCGGTTGTGCCGTAAATATGCGGAATTCGTTGAAGGGTGGTGGTGGATAGGAAACTTACGGTTGGTAGAATTGCCAGTAGGTGCACGTGCGGCGGCTGATGCACTTGTTGCAGCACGCAGGCAGGCTCATGCCGTCGTAGCAGTACAGGCGGCTCGTGCTGATGGCGTTGTTGTACTCTGGCGGACACGTCGCGTTCTGCAGAAACGCGGGGAGCGAGTAGCGCGAGTACACGCCGGCATTGCCCGAGTTGCACGCAGTGGAGCATGTGATGTTCTGCGCCGGTACGCACGGATCGCCCGTGGGGTTGTTGCTGCCTTGAGTCCCGGTCGTGTTGTTGCTCGTCGATCCTTGGCCGTTCCCGTTCTGTGCAAAAGCGTGCGATGCCACAGCCAGCAACAGGACGATCGCAAGCAGCACTCTGAATCTCGTCATGGTGGGGTAGTCACTACGGTGTGATCAAAGCACAAAGCTGTAGCTGAAAAGAGGGGGACGATCTGAAGAATAATGTGAAACTAGGGACGGCTGACCGGTAGTTAGGGAGAACTCGTGAGATACCAAGGCAGACGTGCTTGCAGGAATCTACAGAAACGTTAACTCCGCTGAGATCTAGTTGTGTCAACAAGTGACTGATTGATGGGCAAGTTAAGTGACGAACGAGTTTATGTATCTGTTCTAGAAGCGGCCTGAGTCAATCGTGACGCTTGTTGGGTCTGTGTGCGAACTCCTTGACGTCAAGCAAGACGCTTTGTTGGATCGTTGTGCGAACTCCTTGACGTCAAGAACTACTGGCGTATATAACGACAGCAGGCCAGACGACGACCAGACAAGTGAGTATGGGTGATCGATGAGACAAGGAACGAAGAGGGAGCCAGGGACAAGCGTCGATTATTACTGTTGGATGTGAAGTTTGTCCAGCTGGTCGTATTGTCCTAGAGCACATGGCGATTCCGAGACCGAGTCTGTCGGGGTGGGAATTTCTTGGTTCTGATTCCATCTCTTCTCGGCTGTCGGCCCTCGTGACCTTTGAAGTCCACCCATCCCACGTACATCAAGTGGAGAATTTTGTGGGTGGAGTTCGCTAATGCTCCTGGAAAAAAGAATCGTGAAGTGTTTAGGGCGTGTCATGGTTCGCCTCTGATTGCCCTGATCAAAGTAGATCAATAAATTCCGGGAAGCTAGGGTGGCGATTTCAGGCAATCGGGGGCAATCACTTGATCGCGATCAGTTGATTGCCCCAACTCGATCAACCGCCTAAATAAGCCCAATCAACACAACCCCACACAATCACCGACGATCAGTTGATTGCATTGGCTTGGGACACCAAGCTACGCTAGCGAAAAGTTACGGTGTTGTGCTGAGTTTCGTGAAGCTCTCGCTCAAACAAATCACCCTGGCGAACTTTCTAAACCACCGTCTGCAGCGTTTCTGAGCATCTTTTTACGCAAAATTACATGGAAACATTAAAATTCGGTAAGCCAGGCTGATGACTTCGCCCTCACAAAGTGGGTGCGAAAATGTTTGGAAAGGGTGAAACGCTTGCCAAGCACCCTCAAAGAATATTCGAGGAATCTTTTCTTTGATCGGGCGACGCGAGCACAGTAATCAGAGGGCACCCCGATCTGATCAGACCCGACCAGATCACAGCCGATCAGAGGCAAACCGTGACACGTCCTTAGAACAGCCTTGCAATCTCGGCGCCGCAGATTGGAATATGATTTTCCTGTCTTTCAAAGCAATTATGTCATAAGGGGATACTTCCAGAATATCGGTTTTTTTAGGGAAGTTATGTCTAAAATGACCATATGTGATAGAGGGTGCATTCTTATCCCGTGTCAGACATTAAGTTTGACACGAAGTGGAGGTTAGGAAGACCCGAAGTGGCTCGTTTTTGGGGCGATTGGAAGTTCGGAAGAGACAAATTGGAGACAAGGGTCGCATGACCTGATGTCTGACACGGGATAGGAACGTATCCAAGCCGAACTCTTCGAAAGGCCCGAGACCCAAACTGGTAGTTCAAGAATTGTCAGGGACCACACCATGGCCGATTCAAAAGCATTTGCCCTTAATGCCCTGAACATTCCGGGCAATCTTCAGCCCCGGTTCGGCATTTCAAAATTGTGTTTCAAGGGGTAGCCCGTTTTTCTAAAGGGTTGGTTGGGTGCTCACGCCTCGTCCCCTGATTCCGACCTCCACTCATTGTTCTCCTTTACTCTCCCTCCTCGTGTTATACCTCCCTCTGTTCTTTCGTTGCCTCCTGCATCATCTATCGCTGTCCCTCCTCCACCTTTCTCTGAATCTCTCTATACTGCTCTTCCTAACGTATCTAGTGTCCTGACCACTTTCGTGGCTGACCCTATTGCTTGTATTTGTCCATCTCGGCTCTTGTTGCCATTGTCAGTGACTTTGCCTCCACCCGCCGCCTTGACTACACCACCTAGTTGATGTCTGCTCCTACCGCCCGTCCTCAGTCCGTCTGGGGTGGCCCTGCCATTGGTTGTAACATCCTAGAGGATAGGCAGTTCGAGCTGGCCTTCCATGCGGCCGCTGATCCTCACTTAAGTGCCATGCTACTAGCCCCTGAGGGTGACCCAGATGTTGTTGACACCCCAACTCCTCGCTAAGGCGGTCTCGTGTGAGTGAGCCAATCAGTGGATAACAGCCATGGACACAGAGATGGCACCTTAGAGATCCACAGGCACCTATGTCCTAGCTAGTCATGGTACGACATGGCTCGCAACTGCGAGTTGCACTTCCTAAACTTCACCACTGCCTTTCTCTGGGGCAACCTCCATGAGCGAATCTGGCTCCGCCGTCCTCCTAGCTTCACCGGCTCTTTCCCTCATTGGAACCAGTGAAACCCGTGGCGACTAGTTTAAGGTCCGCTCCAGGCTCCCTGTGAGTGGCACGACACGTTGCCCACTACTCTCAATGTTTATTAACTTCTTCTCGTCTACTGCTGACCTTTGTTACAATCCTAAACAGGACGTAGCCTGGGATCGGCTCAGGGTTTCGCAGGTAGTTTATGCAGCAAAAGTGGTGACCTCAGGTTAGAGTGAATGTAAATGACTGAGATTGTAACAGCAATGCATACATCAAGTTATATAGAGGATACAAGGAAAGCGAAACGTCCTAGCTAGCCATGTACTCGAAGGGGTACATTCCCTTATTACAACGAAATTCGATTGTGCGGCGCGGGAACCCGTTTCAAACCTGTTCCCGCCTTTTTCACTTCGAATGTTTCTGCCTGGATCGGTCTCGTTCTGACGCTTGCTGGTGTCGCTTCGACTCTTCTGGCTCCTCGCCTTCATACTCGGTAAGGTCTGCTCCTATAGAGTACAGTAATGCTTCAATCATAAACGTTCATATCTCAACACACACCTTCATTTTTTGGCGTGTCGAAAGCTGGCCCGTTTGACTACCCCCGTGAGGTTGGAGCAGTGCTGGTACTGCTGACGAGGCAGTTGCTTAGTAAGGAAGTCGACTGCCATAACGGTAGTCGGGCAGTACGTCAGGTCAACCTTGCCTTGATCAATTTCGTCCTTGACGAAAAAGTATCGCAGCGCAATTTGCTTCGTCCGGTTAACGAAGCCCGGTTTGTTTGCGTTTCTTCTTGCGCCCTTGTTGTCACAGTAAAGGCGAAAGGTGGGTGAAGTTGGGATTTTCGCCTGCAAATAGAGTCATTCGCGAACTGCAGCGGTTGCGGCGATGTACTATGCTTCAGCTGACGAAAGGGCAACCAGCTCCGGCTTCTGGGAATTCCAAGAGACTCGTTGGTTCGAACCCCGTTCGTGACCGTCGATTGACAAGTCAGCGGCGTGATCTGCGTCCACGTAGCAGGTGAGATTGAGAGATGTTGCTGTCAGCGTGGAGTAGGAGAACTTGATGTCACGCGTGGAGATGAAATAATGTAGGGCGCGCTCCAAGTCCAGCTGGTTCTCTGTTACTGGCTTGCGTGAGTAGTGTGCCAGTTGCCTGACGATTTACGAAAGGTCGGGTCGGCAGGTGGCAGAGGCGAACAGCGGGCACCCCAGTTGCTGCTGATAAAGTTGGAGTATTGCGGGCGATAGAGGTTTGTTGTCCGGTTTGTAGTTGGTGCTGGGCGTGTGGTAGGCAGTTGAGAGTGGTGCAGGTGGAATTTTGAAGCGTTCCCCTAGCTGCTCTGCATACTTAGAGGCTGGCAGATGAATTGCTTCTGGCGCGTAAGTGATGTTCAGTCCCAGGAACTGTGTGACCTTGTGGTTGATGGTGATGTCAACGCGTTGCACTAGGTTTTGCCCGAACTGGTTGAGTAGTGCATTGCATGTGCCTGTGTATAGAAGGTCATCGACGTAGAGCGTTAGTGGAATGTAGTCGCCGTTGAAGTGGAGGCGATACATTCCCAGGTCGTGCGGCAACTGCTTGAAGCCGGTCTTGAGAAGAACCTTGTTCAAGTACTGCTGCCAGAGTCGTGGCGCCTGTTTAATCTCGTAAAGGGACTTTTTCAGTTGACAGATCCTTGGGTCTCCTTCCCCGTATGTATGCGGCTGCTCCACAAAATTGGTCGCATCGACTAGTGCGTACAAGAACACGTTCTTCACGTCGATCTGCCGCAGTAGTTGGTGCTTAGCGAAGGTGATGGTGAGTAGAATTCGTACAGAGGTGTGACGGCTCACGGGGGCGAAGGTCTGGTCTAAGTCAATCTTGTGGCACTGGTCGTATCCGCGTACGACCCACCTTGCCTTAAATCACTCGATAGTGTCGTCAGCTGCAATCTTGAGACGAAATACCTATTTTCCAAATAGCACCCTCCTCCCCTTCACTGTTGCACGATCAATTAGGACCCACGTGTCCCGGGGCTCGAGTGCTTCAGCTCCGCATCCATGGTTGCACGCCACTCCATGACGTATGGGCCTGTAAGAGCCTGCCGCGCATTCTTAGGCTCGACGATGCGGGGGGCGGAAGTTATGGCAGTGTGTAGGCCAAAAAGTTGTAGGCCGGTGACATTCTCTGCGCCATGTGCTTCCTGAGTGGTTACTTCAACCACGTCGTCATCGTAGCTTTCATGTGCAGGCGGAGGGTTCCTTGGAGGTGCCTGGCGCCGAGAGGGTCCTGGTGCGGGACGATCGTCGTCGTCGTCACGCGGTCGAGGGGGTACGCCGGAATGTTTGTCGGCAGGGTCGCGGTCGAGAGTTGTTGCTTCTCCTTGTAAGCTTGTGCCGCGCCTGCTTGTTGATTCGCGAGCCATTTGTCGAGGGTGAGACGTTCATAGAAGAGGATGTCTTGCGCAGGTACGATTTTGCTGGTGTCAGTGTCCAGGATCGGCCACCCCTTGTATGCATAGCTGATCCCCAGGTGACCTCCCCAGCGCGCGTGATCGGTGGATTTCCCGATGGTAGCGGATGTCGGCCTATATTGAACCATGCAGGCCCAGACCCTCAGCATGGAGGTATCTC